CCTCCGTTCCCTTGCCTCAACAGCTAGAAAACGCTTCGAACTGTTTATAAATCTCCAAAGGAAAAGCCTTTCACTAACCAAAACCTTCTTCTATTGGGAATTTGTCTCAAGAACACAAACCCAGAAAACCCTAAAATGGTGAACAGTAATGAATTGCTCGACAGAATCCAAGTAAAAACCAACTTGTGCTCTTTTTCTTAAGGAGAACCAAAGCCTCTGAAAGAAAATGAGAGTACTAAGCCCAAAAGAAGAGTTCAGAAATAATTAATTGTGACTCTAAAACNGTTATTTAAAAATATTAGCGGTGTATCCATCAGTTATTAAGAAAAACAAATTAAAGGAGTTTGCTTATAAAACGGTGATGTTAATTTGACACGTTGAGAAGTAAGGACGCGTCTAATACACGAAGACATGAGGCTTATCATCTCATAATTTTTTAGAACAATTACAAAAATTCTATTTTTGGTATGACCATTTATAAAAATACTATTAATTATGGATTTTTAAAACCTAAATTTTAAAATTCTAAACCATAAAAAATGTTTTGACCTCTAAACTCCATAAACGTTCAAAATTAAACCCTAATACAACATAATTAACCCAAATATAAATGATATAATGAATAACAATTTTGAAAATGTGACATTTTTGAAAAATAGCATTTGAAAAGTGGTATTTTCTCAAAATTTCTATAATTTTTTTGGTTACTTGTTTGTTTTTGAACGAATTTGGTATCTTTTTGGTTACTTGGATCTGAAGTATAGAGACATAACTGCTTTCTTGTCGCATCCTCTCGCCGAAACCTATTGTACTTGCATGCGTGTACAAACCAAACGCCCCAAGAATTCTTATATTTTCCGAGTATTATATTTGGGACAAATAGAAGTTATGCACTATTTACTTAAAGCGAAAGAAAGATCACGAGGAGTTTCCTAACTTGCCCATGCGGACGTACGTAAATGTACATGTACTGCTCGTTTCAATTCATGTCTACTAGTTACATCTGTTCTGTTCTTCTTCTTCTTTTTTCGACTTTTGTACATATATGTACGTAGTTTTTTATAAGATGTTGGATTTAATATAAATTGCGATCAAAGTGATGAGTTGGGATTGTGGTCGACGATTATTTGTTTTTTCACTATTTGTTGCTGGCTTTTATGGACACGTGTGACCAGTGGCAGATATAGAAACTTTTTTCACCGGAGTCATTATATAATATATTCATATAATTTTTAATGAAAATTAATTAAAAATATTTAAAATTATACAAAAACGTTGACAAAACTTGAAAATATGAGAAACAAAAAAAACTCGCTATAAACCAACACATAAGAGAATAGTAGTACTCTCTTTGTCTCATAATATAAGATTTTCTAACAAAAAACACAGATTTTAAGAACGATATAAATTTAATTTTGTTTGTTTTAATAATATTAAAAATATCATTTAATATCTAACTAAAATTATATCAACTAATAAGAAAAATGACTGCATAACATAAATGATCACATACAATAAATTTTACAAAGAAATCTATAAAATATCTTATAAAATGAAACAAAAAAACAGAAAGAGTAACAAATAAAAATAATATTTATACGTGATGTTCAATTATATAACTTTAAATTCTCATGAATGAGGTCAAACAATAAAATAAAATAAATTGGGGATCAAACATGGGAGTTTACACCAAATAATATTACATAACTTAATAAAACACTAAACAAATTAGCAAACAAAAAAATTAGTCGGGGTCATGTGACCCCCTACCTTAATAGTAGCTCCGCCCCTGCGTGTGACAAAATGAACCGTGAAGAGTCGTCGAAAATTGAACACTTTAGACTTCACGTGGCTTTGATTCTGTGCACAACCTACTTCTTTGCGTCCACGTACGATTTATGAATCTGATTTATTAATAGCATGCTTTGTCTTTATATATGGAGACATTGTATTTCTGTCGGATTACTGGGGGAAGCATATGATCATCGATCACTCAATATTTTCGTATACTTAATTTAGTCATAAC